TTTGCCGTCTTTAGAATAATCATATTCCACACATACGCTGTTCTAACAAATTCGTCACTTCTGTTGACATAGCTTATGGCATTCCAACACCTGTTGTTTTGTCTGGTTACAAAATATCTGTCTACATAGTAGTAGTAAAGGGAAATGAGGGGTTTGGCGGGGGTGGGGGAGGGGGTGGTGGGCCAAAACTCTCATTTCCCTTTACTACTTCCAATCTAGTATTCAACGTTACGAACGTTGCCAAAAATACCAATCAATACTGAAAGATGTATTATTAATCTCGACAAAATCTCTTAAACTGACACGCACTGGGTCGCGTATGTAATTGATACACGTGTGACTGTTTATTTTGATTCATATGGATTAGCGCCACCAAACGAATTTTAGAACATATTAGCAGCATGAAAAGTACTCCAGTCTACTATTCAACGTTGCCTCAACAAACATTAACTGATCCACAAATATTTGGTCGTGAAGTACGTAGTGTACTTGATGCTATATCAAAATCAACAAAACCACCTCATAAGTCTTTCCACGAATATATCACATTGTCACGTTTAAACAGACATTTATAAATATAACAGTAGGTATTTAAAGATTTTCTCGTCCTAAAACTCAGCAGCAATGTGATTTATTTACATACCAGTTCAGAAATTAGATTGAAGATTTATTAAATATTACACAAGTGTGGATCAAAATGGAGTCGTCGTTTTTCAGGATAGACAAGGACAATTAAAGTCAAGCAATATACAAAACTACCAGACGTACTTATACGAAATCCTACCTCAGTTGCTGATAATATCGTTACATTTACTGATCAAGGTAAAATACAAGATTCGGGTTAGGTAGTTAACCATTATGTCAAGAAGATTGGCGATTCATTCATTAGAAATATTATTATGAATATAAATAAAGTTTCAGGTCTTGTAAATCAACCACATATAATGATGCTGCAGCAAATAAAGAACGTCGACGACCAAAAATATAAGTAGGTATCAGCTGACGGTGGTATACTGCGTGCATTTCTCAACATGAGTAATAAAGTTATTAATAATCTCAAAACACCAGAATCTGATTTTGATGATGCTACAAAAAATGCGTCGAAGATATAAGGTAGTTCCAATCAACAATGACGTAAGCACAATCAAAACTGATTTTACTAATCGCATAGGTACATTTTTCAATTTTTGCAGAAAAATAAACAAAACCACAAATTAATTTTTTGGAACTCCACGAGCTGTTGACAAAACTCCCTGATATTAATGCAAAACTCAAGAATATTATCAGTGGAATTCCTGCTATTGTTCAAAAAACAAGCCTGAATAAAATTCCTTTCCAGCAGTTTAAAAATATTGTGTGCACAATTACATCTAGATCTGGCCTGTGGACACCACAAAATAAACCCATCAAACATACCGCATTTAGCGGTGTAGATTTTAGAATATTTTCCACATTTCTATCAACCGATAATTATTCTAGAACTGTATCTGTAATGTTGGATAAAGATTATAAGGAAACATTTACGCTGGAATCGTTTGATAAATGGACGGCTTCAGCTAATTACTGGTGGTGTCTGGGATTTGTAACCAAACCCACCAGTTAATTACTTAACGTCATAGTATTATGAATGAAACTTCAATTGACGATGAACGTCATAGATATAATCAAGTATGTTAATGCCTGACCAAACTAAAAAATATCATTGACAATTATACAGCAAAGGTAAAAAAAAAAACATCGCAGACATGTGCTTGTCATTGATATGGTCTTTTACTCAGTTTCTGCTATTGGTGCAGGATCCTGATTGACAAATAATTAGTACTTCAGCTGGTAGTTATCAGATAGAACAGATTAATGAAGAATTCCAGCGCAGAATTAAATCTATTAGAGGAAAAGAAACCAAAATAACAATTGGTGTATACGAACCAACATTATCAGCGGTGATTGAAATAAAATCCCCTGATTATTCTGTAGCTATTTATCAAAGTTAGATTATATCAGTATTAGAATGGGCTGAAGTTGCACCAGTTTTTCAAGCAATAACAGAACCACAGAGATATGACTTTGTTATAAATGTTAACAAATTATACAACATACATAATATCCAAAATTATATATTGCATGGGAATGTTGACGATGGAGCTATACATCATATAGATAGAATAGATGTCTATTTTACAAATACAATTGATGGTAAGAAAGATAGAATAGCAATACATGAAATTGATGAAATAGATTCACATGCAAATAAAATTATATCTGTACATGAACGTGTATTTAGAAATATACAGAATTTATTTTCAAACAATAAGATGTGCATTACTTTATAGTGCTTTCAGCTATTGCCACTCTAAGAGGGTTGTGGGTTGCATGGGTAAATTGGAATTATAGTTGTTCACATTTTCGGAGGATATAAACTCAAAAGCCTTTCTGAAAGTCTTCTCTCCCAATATAAACTGATACAAGATGTATTTTATTTGGACTCTACTCCATCTCTATCATTTACCATGGTGTACCAATGAATAAAACAACCAATTTCCACTGCAAATATTTGCATGGTTAAAATTAGGAGAGAACATGTAGACTAGAGTGGCACAACCAATGATAAGCCTCATTCATTTTGTTATTGTTTTATAATTTCACAACAGGCTAATTATGTTCTTATTATTATTATCATATTGATATTACTAATTGTTGTTTGTGTTATCAGTGACAAAGCATAGCTGGTATTGGGCTAGCTTGAAATCAGTCAAGATTATCAGATATTATTCTTGTACAAGATTGTGGATTAATTCGTTCAATCTCATTAGTGATCACATGCATGTCCTGATTGCTATTTGTAATACATGTATATACTATGTAATCAATACATTCATACATAAAGAATGTGAACTCACGTAGCATTGGTCTTTCAAGACAGGTTTGACTGTTCATTTATTATATAGAATAGTACAGTTGCTCTTCAACATTAAAAATGTTTTATGTTTGAAAAGTAAAGAATAGGAATGGGATTCGGGCCATTGTATCACACTTTTAAGCTTTTCCTCTACTTAGTTGATTTCATATCTGGAGAGAGATTTGTCTAATTGTGTATGCTGTTTTACCACATAGGTAGAGTATGATGAATGTCATGAATACTGGATGCAGTCCCAGTTGGGTGCAGGTAGAGTTGTTATATTTTGAAATCAAATATGTGATCATGCTTATACCATGAATTTGGATTAAGCTCTGTGTATATGATGATTTACCCTGATACTCTTACATGTACAACAACGGTTTTCAGTCATGAATGTAGCCCTGCAAAGTTAGATTTACTATGATAAATTCCCTTTTTATAGGTACTAAGGGTAATTATATATTCATACAAATATTTAGGAGAATACGTAAATAAAGATTAAGTTTTCAGATCCTGGTTTTACACAAGGGGATGGTTCTGAATCAAGTTAGGAATTATAAATGTATGGAACAAGCAGTGCAGATATTTGTAATAGTTTCCATCACTAGTTTTCATCTATAGTGAAATCCTGTTTTAGTATGAGGGTAAGCGATGCATGCAAAAGAAAACGGATTGGGGAGAGTAGAAGTGGATGTCAATCCACATGCTACATTGGCACAGTTATCATCGTAGATCTGCATAGAAATACGTGTGTAGTTAAAACAGAAATTGCATGTATTCTACATAATTCAGAGAAACCATACACTGCTACATAAAGTATGTATATACATGTCTAAGATATAGCATAAATAGTTAAAGCACATTAGATCGTCATGTGTACACACCAGCTCATCATGTTGCATACGAAAATGAATTCATAAGAATTCCAATGGAAGTATGGAAAAAAATAAATTTTAGTATTGAATCAGTTTTTTCACACATCATGTCTGAATTCACTGCCCAAAATGTAATTGAAAAATTACATAAGGATCATAGAAGCACATGTATGGCTAAATACACATGTCTATCTCAAGGTCATTAAATGGCATCAGCAGAGATTTCATGCTTCTAGAATCCGAATACTTTGTTGGTTTTGAGAAATTTTCAGCGAATGTCATTGGTGTTCATATGCTTATCAAGACCTAAATCTCAAGCTAATAGTGTTTAACACGTAATCCTTCCAGGGCTTCAAGCTTTTCTGTATTATAACGGTAAAATTGTATTTCGATGAAATGTTATCCATTTTAAATGCCCACTAATTACCACTTTGAAACTTTTTGCTAAATTGGCTACCGCAACACTAATTGTTAATTAACAAGGGGGTAATTATAATTGGGAGTGGACAACATATTTCAACAAATTGTGAGAAGATTTTGTGACAACACCTTCAAGTTGCACGACCAATTTCGCAGCATTTTGATGATTACTAATGACTTGATTAGATTGGTTTATAAATTTAAGGTTCCTTTTACCAACCACCATTTTGCTTGGTGCTTAGTCATTCGTGCAGGTTAAATAAGCATATATATGTCTGGCATAGTATGAGCAGTGATTGAACACATAAAACATTGAAATCAAACACCAATAATTCTTAGTTACTTTATTGATGATGGGTCAGTACTAATACAATCAACAGATATCAGTTGTGTTTAGTGAGCTGTCATTTAACAAACTAAACCATTTGTGGTGACTTCGTTAAATAATGTTTGCAATCATTTGATTTTAATATTTATCACATACTGTTTGCAGTGAAATTTTGATCCCTATTTATGTTGTCTTCGTAAACTAGAAATATGCAACTCAGGAGTCAATAAATTGTTAAGCTGCTTATTTGATATCTTTTTCTAATAAATTCCCTTTCTTTCAATGCTATTATTTCACGATTCAGCTCACAAATATACAGAAGAGACTTATATAGTGCATATACAGTAATAGATGCAAAAATGATTAACATGGCATAGAAGGTTATTTTTGTCCATCAGTAAATGTGCTGAAAACTATCCTGGAACATCATGTACTGGCACATTATGGAAACCATAAGTAAGGGCTCATATGCTTTCCATTGTGTCCGGTGGCCTAGTGGTTAGAACGTCCGCCTGGGATGCTGGAGGTCGCGGATTCCATCCCCGCTCGAGTCATACTAAAACTTACAAAATTGGTACTTGACGCTCAGCATAAAGAGGTTGGTGTTAGTATAATGTTGCTGGATGGGACATCATGCTATATGCCTGCGGCATTATGCCTCAGTGCTAAACATCACTATAAATTGAAACACTGCAAATATCATAGCGATATGACTGAAAAATTGTAAAAGCTAAGTTAAAAATTATAATCAAATCTTTCCATTGTGGTTGTGTATGAAAAGAATTAGGAGGTAAAATTTGGGCCAGTGTGGGGATGATGGTGTATTTTTTTGTCAAAAAATGTCAGTCAAAAATAGGAATAAAACATTGCAAATAAAATCATTTATTTATGGTCTCCCATATGGCGCATATCAGCATAAATACAAATTGTGGTAATTTGTTTGTTTGATTACAAGTATATATGCTTGAATTGCTTAATTTGCAGCATTAGGAAGTCCAAAAATGTGTTTTGGTAATTATTACAAAACATTATAAAGTCGCCGAAGATTCCTAAAAGTAACCAAAATGTATATGCTTCATACATGTTAAGTCTTCAGTTTATAGTCTCTCCAATGATGCAGCTTGGCATATATATATATATATATATATATATATATATATATATATATATATATATATATATATATATATATATATATATATATATATCAATGTCTTCATTAAACTAGAATATAAGCATATATATTTTTAAAAACAGCTTTTAGTGGACCATTCTGATTTTGCAACCTTAGGTAGACCAAAATGTATTTCAATAATTGAAAGCTCTGAAATGTTTGCTAAAGATTTGTTGATGTAACAAATATTAATATTATTTTTGTAACTTAAATCTTTAGTTTATTATCTCCTAAGTTATGTACTTTGGCTATATATATATATATATATATATATATATATATATATATATATATATATATATATATATATATATATATATATATATATATATATATATATATATATATATATATATATATATATAAAGTGCTCCATTAAGCTAGAATTTGAGCAAAAATAATTTTAATAACAGCTTTAAGTGGACCATCTTAAATTTGCAGCATTAGGCAGACCATCTTATTATCTTATATGAACCATTGAACTATCTCTAAAGATGTGTTAAAGTAACCAGCATTTATGTCCTTTTTATAACTTCACTCTTCAGCATATAGGCTCTTAAATGATGTATTTTGGCATATATATCACTGTCTTCTTTATGCTTGAATATACGCACTTGTCTCCATAATGATGATGATGAACTTTTGGAATTTAAGTATATCGTGTATCTTGAATATTTTAATTATTGCCGAGAGCATTAAAATCATCTAATACCAAAACTAAATTATGTTTACTTATAAAACACGTAACGGGTATTTGTATATTTTGAATAATTATGAAGATACATTTTGATATATCTAAAGCTGCAAAGTGAAGTTGTTCCACTTAAGGCTGCAACTAGGGTTATATATATATATATATATATATATATATATATATATTTATATATATATATATATATATATATATATATATATATATATATATAAGTGTGTGTGTGTGTTTAATACAAAAAATACTATCATACAGGTTAGAGAAATTAAATTCGTACTCTGCCGAGGTTCGAACACAGGTCCGCGAGTAAATGGCACCCATTGCCTTGCCTGCACGCACCAACCCATATACCGTCAAGACTAAGCACGCATCACCAGAAAAATGATGGCACTGAATCGTTGTTATATAAGCTCGTGCGTAGCAGACACACTCGCATGACGACCTAGTAATTAATTCTCGTATATACACACAGTTGTTCCAGACTCCTATGAAAGAAATCAAGGTATATATGATTTTTGTTTTACAAAGAATTATAAATATAAACCAGACAGAACAGACTTTGCCATCCCTGGACTCTGCAGTAGAATCTTGATAATAGTGGGCAGAAATAATAGTTTAATACAAACAATACTATCATACAGGTTAGAGAAATTAAATTCGTACTCTACCGAGTTTCGAACCCATTTACTATCGGACCTGAGAGAGAGAGAGAGAGAGAGAGAGAGAGAGAGAGAGAGAGAGAGAGAGAGAGAGAGAGAGAGAGAGAGAGAGAGAGAGAGAGAGAGAGGTGTATGTGTTACGTGACATTTAATTGCATATACGTATGAAAAATAAAATGTAAGAAGTAAAGTTGACCATCGATGGTAGATACTTGCTTGCTAATGAATACTTTTCAGATGCAAGCCAACTAAAACTCTCGTTAATATTTTCTACCTACCAAATCTTTTCCTTAGCATATTACAAAAAAACGTCCATGAAACATTTACTTTCGCATCAAATCTTTTTCTCCTTTCCAAACACTTTCAGAAGCAAAGCTCATGAAGTATAATTGTACTGGAACAACAAAGTAGTCGTTAGGAAAAATATCAACGTGAAAGACATAGTCATCGTTATTAAAATAAAACATCCAGACAATATTTTTTAAATGGTATGAAAAGAAAAATATAACTAAAGCAAAATTGTCAATAATGGAACCAAAAAAAGCAAATATTTTCTATCTTTCGTTTCCATCCTGTCTCTGACTGTCTGTCTGTCTGTCTCTTCTTATGGTCAGAACCTATATCACAAATCACATTGGTCATGTGTGCGCATTTAAGCATATCAAATTATGTGTAAATAGTTTGTTTTGTTTTTAAAATTTAATACTAATGTTTTTTTTTAACCAAAGTCTATTCAGTCCTGAGTATTTGAATGCTCTACTCCTTAACTGTCTCCAAGAAACTTCCAGACGAAAATTATCTATCGCTATGGATTTTTATAGCTTTGGCCTGGAACAAATATTGGGTCAATATAAGAGCGCGTGTAATGGAATCATCACAATCGAATGTGGTATAAATTGTATTTATTACTATACATAGCTTTGATTGTGGCAACACAGCGTGAGATTCAGTCCGGATTGTAATGGATCACACCTTTAGGTTCATTTCGTCCAAAAATGTCTATGTACATTAACATTGACGTTGTCGGGACGTCTAAATAATGACGTTCTAAAGGAATATGGATGTAATTGAATCCAAATGAAGTGTACTCTTGCCACTTAACCAAGTATTTAGAAGCAAATAACAAAATATGACACTCATTACCGAAATGGTAGTTGTTTAATGACTACAAGACCCGTGTAGCATATACAATACCAATAGCTGACCAGGTGTATAATTAATGGAACTCGTGGTCATAATCGTGTCTCTATCACCATATCCAGCTCTCTTTTTCAATACAAAGTGCAATGAGCAGAAATCATTTCAAAATACATTATAATCGATCATTCATTCCGTATTTATTTCTTCCTTTCCGAGATTAATAACATGGAGGATTGATACAGCCATGAGACTGACAAGGATAAGACGTACAATTCCATCTATAAGTCACATACTCATTCATATAATCATACAATCTCACAGATATTACATATTCGTACATATATAAATAGGACTATTTTTGTACGGGGAATTCTGGTGGCGTTTTTCTATCACTAAAATAGATCATTGTTATTTTCCTCTTATTTTCCTTATTATTGAGATACACAAATTAATTATCAGCTTCAAGAAGTAGCAGAGATATTACATCCGACTTCATGAACAGGTATATAGCTACGTAATTAATGCTTTGCAGTTATGCTATCCGTGAGGTAACCCAGCGGGATAATTTTGAATTAGTTCGTTTATACATCGTTGTTTAGTTTCTTAAACATAAATCTTCCTAAAGCGGCTTATTTCGTTTTGAAACATGACAAATGTCAATACATATTGTTTTTTAAAAACCCACTAAAAACTAATTTCTAACCATTTCCTCGATGAAGGTTGTAGGTAACTATTTGTTTACGTATCACACAACAAGTGTACTAACATTTGTGTTTCAGTCTAACATTTTCAAGTTATAAAACCCTTACAGAAATATACGGTTTAACTAAGTAGTATATGTGCTATTCCAGACCTTACCAAGACGTGTGATGACATATAAATGGTCGGTCTGACTAACAGATGCGTATTGTATGCAAAATCTTGCCCCCAAGCATGATGATATAAATAGACGACCTCAGTAATAAATCTAGATCTATGTCAGGCATTACCCCCAAGCATGATGACATAAATAGACGACCTCAGTAATAGATCTAAATATATGCCAGGCATTACCCCCAAGCATGATAACATAAATAGACGACCTCAGTAATAGATCTAGATCTATGTCAGGCATTACCCCCCAAGCATGATGACATAAATAGACGACCTCAGTAATAGATCTAGATTTATGTCAGGCATTACCCCCCAAGCATGATGACATAAATAGACGACCTCAGTAATAGATCTAGATATATGCCAGGCATTACCCCCAAGCATGATAACATAAATAGACGACCTCAGTAATAGATCTAGATCTATGCCAGGCATTACCCCCAAGCATGATGACATAAATAGACGACCTCAGTAATAGATCTAGATCTATGTCAGGCATTACCCCCCAAGCATGATGACATAAATAGACGACCTCAGTAATAGATCTAGATATATGCCAGGCATTACCCCTCAAGCATGATAACATAAATAGACGACCACAGTAATAGATCTAGATCTATGCCAGGCATTACCCCCGAGCATGATGACATTTAATTAGAAGACCTCAGTAATAGATCTAAATCTATGCCAGGCATTACCCCCAATCATGATGACATTTAATTAGAAGGCCTGACAAATTAATTTATGTTTATGCCAGGCCTTTTCTTGAAGGATGATGACATATAAGATCATGAATCATAAATAGATGGTTTCACTAATTGATCTATAATCTATGCCACGCTTTAACTACAAGCATAATATCATAAATAGGGGTCCTTGCCAAGTGGTCAATAAGTTAAATCCGTCCTTACTCCGAAGTGTGATGACATAAGGATGGACGGTCTGACTAATGGATCTATATTCCATGCAAGGTCTTAACACAAAGCATGATTACCT